ACTTCCCATAATGCAGTTTGATAAGATCTTTAGTTAGACCTTCTATTATTGGTAATGCCCACATCTTTCAAACTCTACAAGCCCAATTTGTACCCCAAGCTTTTTATTAAACAGTTCTATTGTCCAAGCCCCCAATCAAGATAACCCAGGTGACATCATCAAGGTTTTTCTTCCTCAGGGACTAAATCCTCCAGAGCCACAGAGGACACTGGACTTTCACTGGCTGCCTTTGACTGGTTTAGTGACTTTGACATGTAAAACCAGTGGGGTGCTGCACAGTTTGTCTTGCTGTCTCACTCTTTAGATCTTCTTGCGAGAAGCTGGGATATCAGATAAATGTTAAATGTTGCTAAAAAGTGTAGAAAAACACCTGATTCGCATTGACAGGACTGTCCATGTGGGTTTACCCTGCATCTCTGTGTTTTGCAGAGCAATGTGATCATGTGGTAAACAGTTTTGTTCTACTGTCTAAGAATTTGCAGAATCAGCCACTATTAACGTGCCTGCAGCTGAACTGTAGACTACCGCAGTGGCTGTCTGTTGTTTTGCATTTTAACATTGATTGTTTAGCATCGATTCTTTTCTTCTTAGCGGTCTCTTCTGTGGCCAAATTCCACAGAAAAAATTAACAGCAACGGCCTTGTCGTGTCCATTATCTGTCATCTCAAATTTCCCCTCTGAGTAATTTTTGTTTTATCAGATTCTCTAATTCACTTTAATCCCCAGGGATGTTTTTTTGAAGTACACATTATTTGGTTCCAAAGAGTGCAGGAGCGACTGCATGCTGAAGCTCGTTTCATTTCTGCTCCGTGTTGCGAGCGTGTCCGTGGAGAACACAAACTTTCTAGTCCTGTGCACAGCTCACTGACTGCATACACCGAAGGCCTTTGAGGTGCTGCCACTCGTCTCTGCATTTCCTCTCCCTTTGTGCTCCGTCCAACAAAAGTAATGATGTCTCTGAGAAAAGCTTTCTTTCCCGCCTCTCTAAAACAAGAGCCGCAGCTCAGCCATTGGCCAGCATTAATACAAGGCTTTAATTGTAGTGGCAAAGCTAGCCGATAAGGAAGCATTAGAATTTAAATTGTTTACTGCCTGCTGGCCGTGATTATTACTCTCTGAGTATATTCAAGTTGTGGAATTCATGAAATGTGAACTGCTACTTTAGAAGCTTTTCTGCTCTGTATTTGTAAAAAACAATTAAAAAAAAAGACATTTAACATTATGCCGATTCCTCTTGATTGAACGTTGTTATTGTTCAGTTGAACCACCGTCTGTCTCACAAGGTTGCAGTCACATTCCTCCGAGTTCTTAAAGTGGTAAATGCACTGGCCTTGATACCAGTTTATCACTGAGACCATTTAATAAAGTAGAAATTACATGCACACATAAGATCGCTAAAAAAAAAAAAAGAGGTAACATGTTGTAGTAGATTATTTGTGTCCCCACTTGCTCCTCTGTGGATTACCCAGAGGCCATCTGTGTTCCTCGCAGTGTTTGGTACCTGGGGGGCTTGTTGGAAACCAGGCCAGCCCACATTTGTGTGCCTCACACTGCACCGACTCTCTTCTGCACTGGTATTTCAAAGCTGTCTCTGTATGTCTCTCTCTCTCTCTCACATACATGCACACAACCTCTTTCTCTCTCTTTTTTTTTTTTATCCCCCTTTCCCTCTCACGGCTGTGTCCCCTCTGGTATGTGGATAGCACATCAATGGGAACATTAAAGGTTACAAGGCTCGACAAAACGACACACTCACAACTCCAACCTGACACTTTACTGTACACCCTTTGATCCTCCAGTGACACACACACACACACACACACACACTCACACACACACGAGTCGTCTATGTCAGTCAGCCTCCCTCACACGTTCTCTTTGCGTCACACGCTACGCAGCGTTATGACAAGACCTGTGAATTTAAGGAATAGATAGAATAGAATAGAATAGAATAGAATGCCTTTATTGTCACTATACACATGTACAATGAGATTGAGAGCAGCTCCTTCAGTGCAATATAGAATAAAGTACAAAATAAAGAGCAAAAAAATGAAAAATAGAAGAGATTTAAGTATAAAAAAATAATATACAGTATACAGTATAGGTTATATGTACAGTATGGATTTAGAAAAATATTGCACATCATGGTCATTGATGGTATTGCACATTTGTAGGGTTTACAGTAGGTGGATGTGAGGTAGATGGGGGGGAATTCTACACATTTTTGCACAGTAAATTTTATAATCTAGCTTCCAGTTAATGTTAAAGCACATTAAATGTCAGGTGTATTATATAAAACAGGACCCCATTTTTACATCCCACAGTCTCCTGACCCGAGCGTTTTAAAGCGGTCGAAGTTATTATGTGGATTGGAGAGGGCATCCTCTGGTAATGTATGGGTTATAGGGAAATAATGAAGCAGTTCACCAGATTCTTAGTTAAGAATGTGCTGCACCTTGCAGCTATGAATGCTCTATATTCATCCCACAATGCTCCTTTCCTGTATATCAAGCAACCTTGCCACTCACAAGGTTGAGAAACTCGGAGATATACCTCGGCGCGGCGCGAGGTACTGTCGGTGCACGGGCGACACTTCAGCTCGCTCTTTCAGCGCTGAACGTTAAGTTAAAGGGCACGGGCCTATTTCTCTGAGCCTTTCCAGGAAAATAAACTCATAAAATCATTATTTTTGCAGTGGTAGGATATTGCATTGCTTTGTGCTGTGCCATTCTGTTTGATGTCTTTGAGGAAATGATTATCCTTGGTGTGATTGTGCGGTTATGTAGCTTAAAGGAGAGAGTTATTTGTGCTGTGGTTCTGAGCTTTTTGTGTGTCAAGGCCAGTGTTAGTCTCTGGGCATCCTCCTCTCAATTATTTTTTCTCATTGTCTCTAATTATGCAACAATGTGGCGTCTTGTTTGTTGCATGTGTGCGGAGGTATGCACGCGAGTCCTTGAAGGGATGTTTGGATGCATGTCTGAAAATTGTGATCCCCTAATGTGCTTGGTTGACCTTATTAGGGACGTGAATATAAACAGAGTTATGGAAAGACGGTGCATAAATGAAACAAAATGTTTACCACAGTGAGGAAACAGTACCGTTAATAAACTAGAGAACCGTGGCCTTTTGACCAATTTGCCTCCTCCTTCCACTGCCCCTGAGTTTCTCTCATAGCAGCCACTCTTCCTAACACATCAAATAACCTCTCTGCACAAATGAGCCAACCAGCTAAACTCATCCAGCTTGTGTTGCTGGACTTCTTTTCTTTCTCCCTCAACGCCACCCAATCAGCTTCAAGGTCCTCCTAATTATTTTATTTATTCATTCAAAGAAGATCTCTCATTCTGGGACTAAATTAGAAAGCAGACGGGAAAGAGCTCGTACTGCTCTTGTGTTTCTCTCCCCTTTATGAATATAATTGAATAGCCTCTCTACATAGAGGGGAGAAAAAAAATGGTATGTAGGGGTGTAGAAGAAGAGTCAGACCATGATATGCTGCAGTACAGTGATCACTGTTACAGCAGTTCTCAAGTTAGATCTGCATCTCTGAGTCAGAGGTTGATCAAACTAGATGAGGACCATTTACAAAATCCTCCTCCGACCTTCTCTGTTCACCTTTAACTCGGCTTTTCTGGGATTACACTGCGGGGGTTTGAGAAATTACTTCACATGCAAGCGGTTATGCTGCTCCTTGTCTGTGGCAATGAATAGGTTATTGGTATCTGCCCCATGAATTTCTGTTTGATACTTCAACTTGACATTGCTGTTAGGCGCTAACGGGGCAACGCTCGCAGATTAAAACACAGGTAATGGAATACCTCGGCGGCGAGATGCCGCGGCGTTCCCCACCTTTGATTTACTGAGAGCATGTATGGGGTTAGATCAGGCTTTTCTCTTTGGTGGGTCAAAACCAGGTTAATTGAACCCACTCTTGCTGTGGCTTGATATATTTACCCGCAAATGGATGGCAAGCCTGCTATGTTAATACTCTCTAACCACAGCGTGTTGGCGTTAACAGATGGAGTTTTTAAAGTGCAGCCAGTCATGCATATTTGCCACCATCCATGCTTGCACCTGCTCGCTCTCTTGTTAACCTGTAGGTACGCAGACACACTATATAAGCCGGCAGTTTTTATCCATCAGCATTGCTTTCATACGCACCCTAACACCTGCTTTTCTTTTTTGGAGTAACTTCAGGGTTAAGTGCCTTGCTCAAGGGTTAGCCGGCAGATGGAGCAGAAAATATTGCTGCATGCATGAGCCCATGATCCAATTTGTGCACGGAACAGATTTCTGTAGAAACCACTTAACAGATCAAATAAGGCATTATTACTGTAGAATTGAAAACCCCTCAGACATGATTACACAGCGAGCACTTTCTCTATCATATTTAAAATGGAACATTATGAAACACCCGCATCCGCAGTAAAAGCCAATAACAACTACAGTCATGAGAGTTGCTTTTGTTGTTATTCTGGGGTAACAAAGTTTCCTTGTTTATTTGCTTTTTTTTTTCTTTTTTTTTTTTCCTCCCCTCCTCAGATGCCAGAAAGAATATGCTTGGTTTTTGATTAGCTGGGTGCAATGGGCTTTTGGTGCCTTGGTACCCCACAGTAATTAGGCTGTCAGTCAAAACCAGATGGCTGGTGGCTAAAATGGGGAAGTTTTCAGATGAGTCTCCTGTTTAGTTTTGTTGTTGTGGGTCCACAAATGATTATGGGATAAGAATGCAACTTCTAAACACTTCTGCGATGGATGTTTCAGCTTATTTTTTTTATTACAGTGCCATTTAAATAATTCATTTGACATTTGATTCATTTATTGTTATGCTTCCTTTCACTTATAAAAAAAAAAAAGACGAGGAAAACAGAATTTTTATTATTAGTTCATGGAGAATCTTATTCAGACAAAAATCTGCATTTAAGTTTGTTCTAGCAAAGCTCTCTCTTTGTTTCTGACTCACCAGATACCTATTTTTGTTTGTTTTCCTTTCCGAACAGATTGTGTTTGAAGGAATTCGAGGCCCGAGTTTTGAGGGGGACATCGCCATCGACGACGTGTCCATCACCATAGGAAAGTGCAAGCAAGAGAACACAGTAGCCAACGCAGGTAAGACAGGTAAGATAGAATGTGACGTTATTGTGTGTGTGTGTGGAGACGAGCACAAACAACCAGAGGAAACACAAAGAAGCATCTGTGAAGCGCTGTTTTGCACATCTCCAGCTCTGTTTGTTCATTCGGGGGAACCGAAATGAGGCAGGCGACGCGATTCTCGGAGGTCTTAACAGTGTTGGTGGCGTTTTGTTTTCGGCACACATGCCAATAAAGCACTTTGCTACGAAGCTGAAGCAGAGTTGAGCTGAATTGATTTTGGTTGAAATTAAATTAATTGGGGGTGCAGCAGAGAAGGGAGCTGCTGTGGAGAATATATTTTCAGAGGAATAAGACAATGCGAACTAAATGTCTTCTTTAGCGTTTGGAAGGTGTGGGAATATAGCCTGGAGAGAAAATATTGTCTTTGTGGGGGCTGCACACAGACAAGTGGACACCACAGGGCACCGGCATGGAGGCGAGCTGGAAGCCTCATCATCATTTGCGGCCCGCTCTCTGTTTTATTAACTTCACTTTCCCCTCTATCTTTCCATCCTCTAACTTTCCAACAGCATCGCTCCTGCTGCCTCCTCCACACCCACCTTCATTATATCCTCTCTCTTTTCCTTTTACCCTCGATTCTCCATCTAGCCTTTATTATCTGTACACCTCTGCACGCTGCTCTTCATCTTTAAAAGCTTCTGTTATTTACCCTTTAGAGAGACAGAGAGAGAGATGACAGAGAGAAAGCGTGCGACGGAGAGGATTTAGAGGAAAAGAGCATGAGTGCAGAAAAATGAGCGACACGAAGAAAAAAAAAAACATACCTGGAACCAACGGGGGGAATTTGTTTTCGTGCCATAAACTGACCAATTTCTGCCGAGCTGACATGCTAAGTCAAACTGAGCTATTTGTCCATAACATGCAGAATATATATGAATAGATATATATGCTGCGACTTACAAATACTGTTTGTGAAGAGCCACTTTGCCTTGGGGGTGAATCAGACAGAAAAAATAGTCAGTTCCAGTGAAGGACTGCATGTCCATGTAAGAGTGTGGAGGGACTCCAATAGCCTAGGGGGTGGGGATGTTGAGAAGAGACAGAGAAAGAGAAAAGGTCAAAGACAGAGAGTGACCAAAATTATCTTTGTGTGTGTGTGAGAGAGAGAGAGAGACAGAAGGGAAAAGATGGAGAAACAGGTCCAAAAACCAAAAGAAAAAAATAAGAGAATCCAACCTGCCAGCTGTTTAGCTATAGTAAAAGCTGCTCCCTGCCAACCAAGTCATGCATCCAAACACAGACACGCACACATGCACACAGACATCATTAAATTCTCATAATAGCTTCCATTGCATTCCCTCCGTCTGCAGACGTGCACAACAATAGGTGGTTGGCACCGTTATCGCAACGCACACCACCGCCGCCGCCGGTAGGTGAAGTGAGGACAGTTTGAATGCGTGCAGATGAATCAAACATGTGGGCAGTATACACGACTGATCTTTTAACAGTCACTTAGTTTGACTTTGTGTTATTCTGAGCGGCGTACTGTTTTACTGTAGGGTAATGCTTTATTTCAAATGCGTGTACTGGAAGAAGAAGAAGCATAATGCTGATTTTAAGTACAGTTTGAGTGACTTTCTGTTGCCCATCATCACATCTGTGCAGCATGAGAGGGTTTCTATCCTCCATTCAAAAACAAAAATGCCTTTAAATAGGGAAAAAAGGGAAGAAATACTCACATGCAGCAAGACAGAAGAACAGACGTGCAATAAGATATTGTGTGCACAAAACATTAGCGCAGCAATCTCGACTTTATGCAGCAACATGTGGTGAGAATCTACATGGTCTTGTTAAGTTTTGCTGGGATGCACTACAAAGAAAATATTAGAACCACGGAAACAACACAAAACAGCTAAAAAACACAAACTCCGCTGAATTATTAACGACCTCCTTTTACCTTCTCAAACCCCCCAGTGTGAGACGCCGTGTTATGAGTGCGCTTATGAGCGTGCGCTTGGATGTGCGGCGCGATCTCACACATATGCAAGCACGCTGGCGGATGAAGTGAATAATGGATGAAGGTGTAAACAGGAAGAGGAAAGCTCTTGAGCACTCCGAGCACGCGCCCGTGCGTGTGTGTCCTGCAGGTTTCGTGCAGTCAGAGACGTACAGTGCAGACAGATGGGTAATTATCAGGCAGGCGACTGAAGAGTCTTCGCCACTGTAAGAAACACAATGCATCTGTCTTGAGTGCAGATTCTACCTCTGTGGAGTTGGGGAGGTAAAATGAGGATTAGGGAAAGATTAAGCTCAGCTATATTTGCCAGGTTTGGTGCATTTAGAAGGAATGTGACTTGGAGGGAAATGCAAACTCATTCATTCTATTCTGCTAATTAAATTTAATGTGAGATGCATGCATCTTGCACCGTACAGGATGTGGAATGGGTGAAGGTGAGCCTCGCAGCCTCTGCCAGCTGATACATCACACCTGTATCTCTCTCCTGCACACAAAGTGCATTCAAGGTCTGGCTACAAAAAAGAAAATAAGACGAATGCTGGTTCAACTTTCCAACAGCCACACCTCTTAAACACTCACTGACACTTTTACATCCCTTGCAAGCATTTTCCCTGGATATCTACTGTACACTGTATGTAACCACTTAAAAACATGCAGGGATGCACTCAAGTTCACCACCAGCAACTCCAGTGTAAGCTCCCGGTTAGCTATGTGCACACACACAGGGGACTGTTATCCTAAATGAAAGATGATTGCTTCTGACATGTTTGGTGCAGCCCCACCTTCACAAAATCACAGAGCTCCACCTGGCTCAGATGTGAGTGTTTGCAGGGGAAGAGAAGAGTTGGTGGAAGGCGAGCTCTTCTCTCTTACGGTTTTAACTACCTTCTCTCGTCTCTCACGCTGACCCCTTTGCATTACGTTCAGAGGACCAAACAGACGAAAAGAAAATAAAGTATGAAATGGTGGAATCTGTGATGGAGGATGGCAGCAGGTTGCAAGACTGGAGATGTTTGACTGATGCAATTTTACCTGAGACTGACTTATTTTGTTCATGTGCAGCACAAAGAAGCAGGTGTAGAAACTCAGCTGCATCTGAATGCAATCAAATCTCATCTGTTTAACTCCATTTTAATTCCATGACAGAACAGAAACATATATTAGAGGTCTGTATCTGTCACAATCAATAAAATAAACTTACAAGCCGCTCTTGTGTGTAGAGAGAGGGAAAGTTTGTTTGCGAGAGAGATGGATGAGTTAAAGAAACAGCTCGACAGAGACAGACAGAGATATGTAAAGCTCCATGTTCCATTTCAATTTGTTGCCTGCATACTGTACTATAGGGATGAGTGTGTGCTCAGGATATGTGTGTGTGTGTGTGTGTGTGTGTGTGTGTGTGTGTGCACTGCATACAGATCTAAGCTTTATTATAAATATTGATTTTCTGCCTAGAGGATGGACCTTTGATATGAAATCATATTGATCTTTTTAATACAATACCTACTTTTTTATTTATGAAACTGTGTTTGAGCAGCTTGCATTTGTAATTTCTGTACAAAAGAGAGAGAGAGAGAGTATACGGCATGTAGAAGAAGTTTGTTTTTGTGCACCGCTTCTGTGCGACACTGTGAGATTTTAATATAAAAAAAGGGGGGAGAAAAAAAAACAAACAAAAAAAATACAGGAAACTTCAGATGATCTCATGTACGCGGCTGACGGTTGTTTTCATCTGCAAACGGGATCTGAACAATTAAATTACAGCACACGAGAGATGTGTGTACTGTATCTTCTGGCAGTGCGTAAACAATCACAACGTGGAGAAGAAGGGAAAAAAATGCAGGAAAACAATCCATCACGTATCAGTGATGACATCAATCGTAACTTCTTTTTTTTCTCATTAAAATCTCAAAGGTGACAATGACAATGTGGGGGATCTGAATGCTGAATCTCTCTCTTGTTTACTCAGCCGCCCCCTCATCCATCCAGCGCTCTGTCTGTCTGCTCGTCCTTCCTCTTCCACTCAACCTGTTCTTTCCTCCCTGTCAGTCTCTCTCCTTTCTCCATGTAAAATCTCAAACGACAGACCCGCTTTCTACAGCCCACATGGTTTGATGTGGTTTAAATGATGCTTCATGTGAGGAGATTCTCTCACTTTGTTCACTGGACTCAACCTCAGGCTTAAAGACAGGCCAAAAAAAGATAAACAGTACAGGAGCAGGTACTCGTAATGTGATCATGCTTGGCCTCTTACAAAGAACAAAAATAGATTTAAACGAGAAAAAACTTGTGCAGTATGAGAGTTCTTTTATTAAGGCCATCGGTATAATCAATAATAAATGGATAATTATATCAAATGTCCACATTAGCTCTTAAACTGAAATTTGAACTGAATGAGTGTCACGCTACATCACTTTACTCTGAGCCGTTTATTCATCCCTGAACACTCTTTTGAACCTTGACATTCGCACACTGCATGCAAAATTTAATATCAGTCATTGTGGGCGATGAAGACTTTATTTCGAGTAGGTTTAGAAAAAGTGATTTATAGGTAAAAAATAATAATAATAATTGCAGTGGCTCATCTTTAATAAAAAAAAAAAAAAAAAGTGCTCATGATTCTCTCAGCATGACTCTTATTATGAAACTGTACCACAAGTTTGATAATTAGATCCCGACACATCTGGTGAAGGAGGGTGTCATCTACATATGCTTTAATCACAGATCAAGGACGTGTGTCTGTGGGAGGCAGTGACTCCTACCACTTATTAAAAAGCAGAAGCTGCCTCAATAATGTCTGTGAGAATATAGTTTTCATGCATGAACTAATCTGACTCTGTTTTTTTGTGTTTGTTTCTTCGTTTCCATAGTTCTGATTGGAGGATCGCGCTCGCTCCCGCTGGCGAACTGGCTGACCTTTGGCCTCTGCTGCTTCCTCTCACTGCTCTACAGATGATGAGCACTTCCCACAGCGCCGCCGCCCGTCTGTGCTGACAGACACTGCCCTGACTCGCGCTCTTTTACTTCTCTCTCTCTACCCTTCTCCTTGTCCTTTCCTCTCTGTGCCTGTCTCCTTACCTGTCCGTCCTCTTCACTTATTGTCTTTCTGTCCTTCTTGCATCAACCTCATCCTTCTTGCTTAGCTAAGGAAGAAACACAATGTCTAGTTTCTCGTCCTCTGCTTTCTTTGAGTAGTTCCCCCCCCATCCAGACACTCAGTATAACCAACTGATGCTCATACTGTATTTAAGGTTGACATATTTAATGATCTTCAAACTTCCTTCCTTTCGTCACTCGACTAGATTCACTTTATTCAGCGTGTCACGTTGTCACCCTCCCCTCCATCCACCTTCTTCGTCCATATTGTGCACCCGTCGTGTATCTTCACCCCCCTCGAAACCGCTATCCTTGATGGCCCCCTCCACCCTATTCCCGAGACACACCAAAGTGTCGGACACTCTACCAAAGATGACGAAGGACCTGAGGGAATAAAATGAGGGAACAGGGATTCCAGGAAGAAAGCGAAAGCGAGAGAGAAAGCAGTATAAAAAAAAACCTTTTTTCCACAAAGACTGTCTCCCGTCCGTCCTATCTTTTGGGATCACGGGAGCTACTGAATGACAAAGACAGATTAAAAAAAAAAAAGAAAACAAACAAAAAAAAAAACAACCCACCACTGATTAATGAATGATTGAATAAACAAATGAATAGTTGAGGAAAGGACGAACCAGAAACAGAGGATAGAAGAAGGGTGCCCCTGGTTGCCTCTCTGCTTGCCACAAGAGACAAACCTCAGTGCGGATTATACGTGTACATTTATCTATATATATATTAAATATAACAAAAGTTTAAACTAAAACACAACTAGGACAGTGGAGGACTTTACAAAGTGAAATTAAAGAAGCACAACGTTTATACAACCTCTGCTGTTCCTTTGGGTTTTATTCTACTTATTATGTGATGTTGCAATTTGTCAGAACTATTCAATGTTTTTGATATTTTGCTTTTTTTGTTTTGTTTTGTTTTATTATAGCATCATATGGGTCAAGGGCAATGGGTAATAAATATTATATTCATATTTATGAGAGCTAGAGAGGATGATTTGTGATCCAGAGCTTAATTCGAGCACGTGGAGGGAAAGATGACCCAAGCCATCTGGATAGAAAACCTCAACTAGTCTTCGCACATATAGCACCGACGAACGCACACACACACACATATACAGAAACACACACACACCTCTCAGCTCACTCCTCTGCCTCTAGAACGTGGAGGAAAGTAGCAGCAGCTTTCACATTTCTGCTCACATTTTCATAAACTTCCCCGTCATTGGACATGTGACTCAGATGGCTGGATCGATCGAGGAAATGTGAAGTAAAGGAGAAAAAAAACGTGGCGGGAAGCAAGAAAATAGAGCCTGGAATAAGTCCCGGCACTTCTCTCTCTCCACAGGTTGCCCATGTATGGATCTGACATACACCGCTGAGTGAAAGATGGAGGAGATTGTCAGTGTCTGCCAGGAGTGCAGTGAAGATTGCATATCAGATTCTTTGTCAGCGTTTAATTACTGTTGAATGTCTAGTGTAAAAAAGGAAAAAAAAAAAAAAAAAAGGTTTCATTATCCCATAGATATGATTGTTAAAGTGAAGCAATACTCATATCTACGGATCCAGAGACATTACTTTTTGGTTGCATTTTACAAAAGATGCCACCTTCATATTCTCTCATCTCTTATTTTGTCTGTGTCATTGATCATTTCACTCATTTTTTTTGTTTGATTTGTTTCCTGTGGTTGCTTAAAAGTGTATTTTTGAGTTTTCAATCATACATAACATGCAGAAATGATGTGCCTATTTGACTTGCCCAGTCTGCTGTGGGTGGCACTTTCCACGCTGTTGTTTGTAGAACATCCTAACGTGTAACTGCTGCAGAGTTGTGAAAGCATGTCGGACAAATCTGCGAAAAATGTCACAGACAGCGGTGTGTTATATGTGAAGCCCTTTGAAACTTACTGCAAGAAAGAAAAAAAAAAAATCAAAATTGCTCCCTTTTTCTTAGCTTTATCATCAAACATTTACTTTGATCTGAGGCGTGCACCTGATGGGAGGTTGTACTTGAATGATAAAAAGATGTTTTAGGTGATGCTTTCTGCAAGAGAAGGCCTAAAATGTTTTCAACAATGTCTGCAAAAACACTGTTTGGTTTTTAGACATTCATCGCAATGCCTCCAGTTCCCCCAACCTTACTAAGGGAATTGGTTCCATGTGGCATTTCTTTTTTTATCAGCTTGAGTTGTACAGTATCATAAGCATTATCCAGCACAATAGCAGTACACCCTAGGTCAGTCCTTTAGCCGTGTGGTAGTAAATACATATTATGAAGCATTGATGTGCATGGCATTTCATCATGCTGTCAGATCCTTCCTCATATTGCCTCATATTTCAATGGCAGCAATAACAGGGGGCAACGCTGTCGTTGTTATCGTCGCATTTGGACATGTGACAGCTGCGAATTAATGATGGAAATGCTTTGTCTGTAACCTCTGTCATATTCCTCATAATGACGTTATGTTATTCATTTAGCCGTGATCGACAACTTATAGCTCAAGTGTAAAGGGGGGAAATATCAAAGCATTACATACACGTGTGCAAAATGCAGTTAATCCAACCCGTTGCTTGCTAAGAGATTCCATTACTGTGTCGTGCTGACCGATTAAACAGCAACGTGTCACTTTTGGTTAAAATATGCGGCAATAGAGCGAGGTTGGAAGGTAACACATGCTGTATCCATCTCCTCCTGTGTGAGAAAACTGTTTTATTATTACTGTTTTGTAATTCAAACATACATTAACGCGGTAATTCTTTTCAAAACGGCACACAGCAATCAACCTTGAGAAACAATAAGCAGGACCCTGATTCCCGTTTCACTTCTAGACGGGAAACATTGTGTTCAGCAGAATGTAAATTAGGCGACTTGTCTTCTCCTGTTTGTTTTGTTGTAATATAAACCATTTGACTGATGGTTTAGTGATTGCAATTTTTTTCTAATATTTAAAGTGTAATCAAACCTGTAGCAGCACATTTTTGTTCCTGTTGGATGGAGGCCAGACACAAAGAGGCTCTTGCGTATATCTTCCATAATAAAAATCACATGCTGAAAGTATCACTTCTAATTCAAGTGATAGTCATTATTTCAGTGTGATGTAACAGAATCCTGTGCTTCATTTGGTTGCAAAATAAAATCTGTTAATAAAACTTTTTAATTTTTTTTTTTAAAGGGACAGAAATAGCTTTTTCTCACAACGCCAGATAGAATTGAGTGAATCTGTGGGATATTATTTAGAATATAAAGGTCCAACTACTAGTATTTGACCTTAACAGCATAAATAAGTCCAAAAACCCTCAATAAAATAGTCGTACTGTTTGACTAAAGCAGTTTTGGAACGTGTTGTTCAAATGTAAAAGCACTTTACAGGGTGGACTGAGGGCACCTCCAGAATTATCCAAGATGATTCCAGATCCATTTTTAAATTATTGTAATAAAGCCAAACCAAAGATAACACAACTTAATGTAGATTTAGTACATAAAACTAGTGAGGACAATGACCTGGACATCTTTTCTTAACAAGCATCCAGCGTCTATTTCAGCCTTCTAGTCAGTGAAGCCCCAGTGTTCAAGTGTAGTCCTCCCAAAACTGTAGGAATCTAGGATCTCGTTTTGTGTCCATTGAACGGTCATTTCCACTTTCTGTTCGCAGCATGTCCGTCCATCTCTTTACCGAACCACTGCAGAGCTGCACACACACAAACACACACACCTACACGTAGATTTCTGCCACCGTGCAGGCAAACAATAACACCTGGAATGACAAACTGACTGTTAATCCTCCACCTACAGTATACTGTCTTTACTGTCTTGAAATGATTTGAGTGGAAGTTCAAGAGAAGGGAAGGGAAGTGCTCAGCCTTTTGTCCTGACCTTAACTGCAAACTGCCAGTACGCTGAGTGACTGGGTGGTGATGGTACCACCCCTCCACCCCCTGGCACGGGATAATATAATGAGGTACATGCTCAAAAGTTATTCTCTTTGTCTGAGGGAGATTTAAAGTAAAACAATCTGCGTGCTGGCGACACTTGGGTAATTCTTCCATGTCATGTTACGTAAAACATTACAGCCTTGGTTTACAAACTGGAATGAACATTTCCACTAAATGCTGTGACCCTTGCCTGATTTCCCAAAAGAAGGATCAAAACAGTGTTCATTTGATTTTCGAAAAACCATTTAGGTTAAGTATGCTTTCCTCGAATAAAATTCAACAAATAAAACTGATCAGCAACACACACACCTTGTGCGTCCACAGGTAACGGTTTCTGCGTCCCGGTGGACTTTTATTTGACTAACACATAACGGTGTCTCTGTGCAGTGTTCTATGGCAGCAAAGCAAGCAGCTTCAAAGTGATAAGCCTTAAAATCTTATGAATCACTTTTTTTATAACACCGGACTGTTGTAACCCACTGTGATAAGTATTGTTTTGTTTTGTTTTGCATTGAGCGAGTTTTGGGAAACAGTGCACTGGTCACAGTGGTAGTACACATCCTGACTGTCAGGTTTTACAGCATACTGCAGTCGATGTATTGATCCATTTTGGGACAAAAAGATGTGAAATGCACCTTTAATGAGGAGAACAAAGGAGAAGGGTAGCAAACAGTGCTGCGTGTTGTATATCTCTGTCATGTACTTAAGTATTTTAGAGGAAGAATATATTTGAAATATGACTCTGAAAGGTACAAATAAACATCAATGAAACAAATAGGTGTATTTATTATCGTTTGTTGCTGCTGTGGCTGAAAAGGGAATGCTCTTCCAAGAAGGAGAGAGTTAGATGAGAAGATTGATACCACTCTCACGTGCCGACCTCTGAATTAACTGATCAATCAACTGGTCAACTGTCAAAATCTCTACATGCAGTAGTGCTGTCGCTGCACAGACTAGACGGACAGGAGAGAATAAAATTATCCTCCAATTAACCGATAATGAAAGTAATTGTTAGTTACACCTCCATGCTCATTTTAAACCAACAGCCAGGAGTTTGGTTTGCTTAAATCAGTGTTAAAGTTTAACTTAAGCAGATTTTACTGCCTTCTGACAGAAAGTGGTATCAATTTACACATTTAACTCTTAGCAAAAAAACAAAAACGAGTGCAGCTTGTAGAGTCGTCCACAAGGTCAAAAGCCAAAACTCCTTTAAACCTGAGATTCTACTGACATGTAATTAATTACCCTGCAGTGTGGTTCAGCTGTACATTCAAGCTTTGGTTTTGAAATGGTGCTAAACTGATTCTTTTCTCTTTTTTTTTTCCCAGCTACCTTTTAGTCAATTAGACCATAACTTTCTGGCTCGAAAACAAACCTCAATTTATGTTCAATTACATTTACGGACATTAAATCGCCGTAGATCACATGTGATTTACTGCCCTGCAAAGTGTTTCCAGTGTGATTTCATACTCAGGCAGACTGGAGTCACCTTTTCTTTTTTTTTCCTCCCCCCCTTTTTTTTTTTTTTAAACTAGAAAATGTATCACAGCAACGGGGGGTTAATTACAGAAGTGCTACAGGTGCCTAAAGATACTAATTAGTACGCTCACTTTATTACTCATTACGTTGTGATTAAGAGACCAACATGTTTGGACTACTTAGCAAATAAGCATGAAAAAACATAAATAGTTTTGCACACGGAACAAATAAATTAAAGCGTGTGCGTGCCAAACCCCCTCTGTTCTGGTGTCGGAGCAAAGTCACTCAGCTGTTGCGGAGACACTGAGCCGCTGTGAATAACTTGGGAAGCAGGTACGGCACGATAAGGGTGTAATTACACTTTTGAATGAATCATTTTTTATTCTTTTCAGTTTCACGCGTTTTTGTCTCGATTTGACCCTCGTGTGGACGTGATAGATGGCGGGCCGCAACGTATGCGGTAATTAATGAAAATTCTTCGGAACTGCTAAATTGCTAAAGCAAATGTCAGCACTTGCTCACTAATGACTCCGCTGCCGAGGCTGCCAGGTTATGTGCATACCTAATTTGCGAGATGTGTGTAAAAGTACAATGAAGTGACACAAACAGTTTTCTTCCCATCTTTCAGCGCCTCATCCCGGGATGTCATCGTAAACTCATACTGTCACAACAAATGCAGTAATCAGAACTCGTTTGCACTCCAAGGGTGTGTGATTATCCTCTCGCTCGCACCGACATTGTCACCGTCTCTCAATGTGTTTTGCTAACACTTCTTCCCATTTCTTTTTGTTTGGTTCCCACTGCCTTTTTTATTTTTTCCCCTTCGCTCCTATTTCTGTTCTATCGCAACAAAAATAGACACAGGCCAACAATATACAGTAAGTATAACCGATCTGGCTGCTTTTGACCTTCTTATAACACACTGTTCCTGTTTAGCTTGCTTACCTCTGTTTGGAGAGATGGGAGAAGTGATAGGCGTCGTATAGTTTTCAGCTATTTTTTGCTCGGTTCATTTTCTGTAAGTTTTGGCCTTTGGCTTGTGGCAGAAGAGTTTTCTTCTCGTAGAATAAACTGTGAGGTCCAGCTGCTCTGACTCTCTCGCTCACAAACACACACAAACAGAGAGGCGAGCATTCATAGTTTGCACATTTACATTCGGTTTTATATTTCATATGTTGCTCGCACATGTCTTCGACTGAACAATAGGAGGCGAACAAATGAATGGTGTCAGCTTACATGCATGCTATCAGATGAGGCACACAGCTCTCCTACACTTCTCTTTTCTTTGTACTCTCTCCCCTTTCTTTCTCAATTGAGCGAGACCGAGATGCGCAGATAGAAGTTTAATTAATGTGTGCTTTCCACTCCGAGCTGCCTCTTAGTGGAGCGCTAGGTGAAGAGGTTTGGGCTGAACGGTTCAGAACTGCACAGTTCTCCTTCATTTGTTGTCGGTGACACTGGGGAGGTGGGCTTTCTCACCGAGTCTGTGACTGCAGTTTGCCTCGCGTTTGTACGACGAAGGGAAAAGGGGGGTTTTTGTTGCTGTTCTCCGCTTGATTCAAAGATCGAGGTTCATTATTGATAACGCCGAGGTTTGCTCCTGACAAGTCCCTGTGGTTTGATTTTCAGTAAGTGAGTTTGTTCCCTTGAATTAACCACTTGAACAGTTGAGTCATAAAAAGTAAGTGTGTGCTTCCAATCCCTCGATGAGAAACAATACAGCGTACCTGTAAAACTAAATGTTGGGTATGTAACAATCCATGCACAAGCATTATCAAAACCCCTCCTAAACCAGAGGATTACTCGAAATAGATACTGCAAACATCAACATTTAAACTTTTTTTTTCTAAAGACACTTACAATGAATGAGTATATTCCTTTACTGCACTTCACTAAAGGTATATTATGAAACTTATGGACAGCAATTTTGAATGATTAAATGTGCTCACTGCATAGTACATCCAATGGAAGTATCTAAATGTAGTCTTATCCAAACATTAAGACAACTGCATTTGGTATTTTAGACTTGTGTTGTAAGTTACAATCTCCACCATGAGGTACGATGCTCAACATGAGTTGTTACAAAAAAAAAAAAAACTGTCATCAATGGAATTTTAAACAAAGAATACAATGATAATTATCCATCCATCCATTTTCTATACACCACTTAATCCTCACGAGGGTCGCGGTGGGGGTGGAGCCTATCCCAGCCGACTTAGGGTGAAGGCAGGAGACACCCTGGACAGGTCACCAGTCTATCACAGGGCTACACTTAGAGACAGACAACCAAGCACACTCACATTCACACC